TACTAACATTTATAGTAATTAATGAATACCACATGCTACTAATATTTATAATAATCAATAAATACCACATGCTACTAATATCTATAATAATTAATGAATACCACATGCTAGTAACATTAATAATAATTTAGTGGTCTAGAAATACTATTTCTTACTATTTACAAATTGCACAGATTGAAATATTTTTTACAGTAAGAAATAAAAATATATAATGATTGACTTGAAGAAAACTTAAATAGGAGAAGATTATGTTTCAATAAAGAAATATACTTTCTCTAATAATATAAAAAGAATTTAAGGACATTGAACTTTACTTTTTCACTGAGTAATAAACATTTTTAGAGAGACATAGCTGCTGTTATGTTTTATTGTTACTGTTACATGGTGCTCATGATACTTTTTCTCATACAGGTAAATGATGCAGTTATGGTGTAATTACATGTTCTTATACTTTATTTCTATATATATAATGCTTTTTTCTAGCTGGCAGTGGGACTGACTTTGAACAGATACTGAGTGGGCCAGATTATCAAGTGTTTGAGAATGGTACTTTAAGAATTGTCCGAACAAAACTTCAAGATAGAGGGCATTATCTATGTCAAGCCAATAATGGAGTTGGACCTGGATTAAGCAAAGTAGTTCATGTGACTGTTCATGGTTAGTGAGATTGTATTTTCATCCAGAAAATTATTGGTTTGGGCAATCAGTTACATAGTTTAACTTCAAAACATTTCAATGCTAATAAAAGAATCAAATAGTTATAAAATTAGAACATTAAAAAAAGTTGATTGAGAATTTAAGATAACTTTTGTTTTAGATCAACTGAAATCAGTAAAGTAATTTAAATTGTTTTTAAGACAATGTTTGTTCTGTAAATTTTATGGTATTGATATGAATGGAAAGGAAGACTAAGACAATGGCTGTTCTGTCTTCCTTTCCATTCATTTCAATACCATACAATTCATAGAACAGACATTGTCTTAGTCTTCCTTTCCATTCATTTCAATACCATACAATTCACTTAAAATTAAAAGTATAGATTAATTTAATATATATATATTCAGGACTGTATACATATGCATTACTGTAGACTGTTGGTTCTCAACTGGTGGGGTGTGCCTCCTGGAGGACACATCAAGCCTTCTAGAGGGGCACAAACATTTGAATGATGCTGTAAGATATTACAAAAATAATAATTTTGAAAAATATATTACAAATGAACACTATTGTTATTATTATATTTTATTCTTTTTAACCATGCTTTTAAGTAGAGAAACAATCAGGGGCAAGTTCATTTTTTTGAGAGGGAAGGGCATTAGTACCAAAAACTGTTTACACTTGGGTGTGAGTAAAAAAAACTAGATAATTCCTGCTGTAGACATTACTTACTTAAGTCATTTTGCCTCAGTACCGAGGCCAAATTTTCAACTCCAAGTCAAAGTAGGCTGTTAAAATCATGTTTACTGACCTAAGCCTGGAAATGATTGAACAATTATAAATTTTTATATGCCCCCTATTTTCCAGCACATCATGTTTAACAGTTTCCTAAATGAATGCATGAAACTGTGATGGAACAGCTGAAAATAATTCCCATGATGGTTCAAGTCAACAATAATCATATAATTATTGTATCTATCTTTCTAAGTGTTTTGTTCAAGAGTTTTAATGAAATATATCCACATGTATGGTTATACATATGGTGTGTAGAATATCTACTTACAAAATCATATTAATTTCCACAATGTTTTGGGACCTGGACCATTCATGTAAAGTTTTTTTATATATATATATCTTTACAGTTTTAGTGGTTAAAATTATTTGAAAAAACATTAAGTGGTTTATAAGGTGCCGGCATTTATAGCTTCAGCATTGTGTCATGGAAACTGAGGAAATCGTGTTTAAAGATACAACGAGAAAAAGCAGGAAGAAGCTAAGGATCTAGATTCAAGTATTCTTTGTAGCTTTTTCTGTGAACCCACTGTTAAAAAATCACTGTGTTCAAAAATTAAAAAAGCATAATAGATTATGCATTTTCTCATATACTGTTTTAGATGTATACATATAAAGAAGCTTGATTTTAGATTATTTCACATATTTACGGAATATATTGATATTATATAAACGTCATCATTTTTATGTGAAATAAGTTTTCATGCTGATTTAATTGTGTACAGTTCCTGCACATTTTGAGATGGATGAACAGACAATAACTGTGAAAAAAGGACAGGAGACTAAACTGTTATGTGAAGCTATTGGAGATAAACCTATGGCAATTATTTGGAACCAGAATAATCATCCACTGAACCCAATATCTGAGAAAAGGTACATTATCAAATATACCTATGTTTTTAATTGCAAGGGGTGAATCAAGTAATACGATGTAACCTAGAAATTACAACACGATACTTACCATCCTCTCACATAATAGCTTTACTCGATCTTCCACTGCCCTCTAATGTGTTGAAAAGAAATTTTGTAGCTTGACACACTAGCCACTATACCTCATAAATTTGAGCTGTTCATTTAGCATGCATAGAGCATGCAACAACTCTCCACCAATAGAAACATGACATACTCTCCTAGAGCAGCTGGCTCCCTCTATACTAGTTGACATGAACCTCACTTTCTCGATTGGCACAATACGAGTCGGAAGTGTTTCTTGCTGGCTTTCATTTTGCAATAATTTTTTTTCTCTGATATTTCAGACTCTGTTCATATTTATTCATTTTTTTGTATACATTTACTTTGCTCATTCTTACATTCTGGTGTGTTACTGACTTTTAATTACCATTTTCACACAAGTTATTGCAAATTATAAATTTATGTTTTGCTGTGATTACAACCACACTTCCTAAGGTTATTGGGGACACACAAACTCCTGTTATCTGCTGAGGAGGTTTGTCTTCCCCCATCTTCCCTCAAGGACTTAAAAGTGACTCCATGTTTGGCGGGCCAGCCTTATTCTCTGGTGTCCCATGTTAATGTGGTCAGGTTGTATACTTCCCTATTGTCCCTTGCTAATCACTCCTCATGATAAGTTCCTCCATGGCTCCTGATCCTCTTCATGTTTCCCATACTCCAGCTTCCATGCCTTTTCCTCTGCCCACATCTCAACATTCTCATCCTTATCCTAGTTTTCCCATACCCATCAAGACTGTCAACAGTGGTATAGGTGACAGGTCCTATAGGGGCCTGTGACTTCTCCCCCATCACCTTTACGGGTTGGGTTCATCAGCTTATTAGGTTGATTCTTCTTCCCTCTCCTCTGAAAGGTTTAATTTTTATTGTGTCTTGTCTCACAGATTAGACATATCACTGTGTCTCTAGTGATGGCTGGAGATGGCTTGAATGGGTAATGAAGAAAAACTTTAATATAACAGCAAATGTACAACGGGGTGCCTAGATACCTATTCTAAGTTTCATAACAGTTCCGGTCATGTGACTTCTTTGTTCAATACTGTATATATATATATCCGTGTCAGTGTAAATTACTTGTACCTGATGATGACAACACCTTGTCGAAACGTTGTAC